GGTTAGAGCCGCGCAGAGCCTTAAGGGCAGCATGGCTTGACCAAGCCACCCTCAGAAGTTCGCCATGCCTCCAAACGCATATATAAGCACATGGGGGCTCCGAGTTCCCCTCGACTCGCTCTGAGTTCAGGGCTCTCGAGAGCCGCCCCCACGTGGGAAACCGGAAGACATGGAGAGGGCTCACTGGGGATGTCTTCAAGCGGAAAGGCTCGCAGGTTTGCAGGTTGTTTTTTTTGGGTACTGGTATGTAGGGGTTCTACGTTCCCGACTCATGAGGGATATGGCAAGAGATGCCCCTATACTTATAACCCGACCGTAATAGAAGTACTCATGAACTTGCAGGTAGTGGTTCCTGGTATGGTGGAGGTGATATGAGGAACCTCATTCCTAGAATTCCTTAGGAGCAGGAACAAGTGCGACGTACCTTTTGAGTTCGGGGGACTGAAGAATTCAGGTTACCTGAATCCTTAAGGACCCCAGAACTGGAGGCGGAGTCCCTCTCTCTCACAGGCAGAAGCAGAGTCCCTAAACCCTAAAGCCCTAGAACCCTAAACCCTTCAAAACCCTAAAACCCTAACACCGAAAAGCCGTTAAACCCGAAAACCCTAAAACCCTCAAAACCCGTAAGCCCTAAAGCCTGGAGGAGATGTTCGTAGGGTTCGTGTTGCACACTGATCCCGCTGAAGGTGCCTCAGCTTCGCCTCACCAGTCCGTTCGTTGGCATGTCAGCTGTGCATTCCCCTCGCCGAAGCAGGCTGCTGGGAGTTGCCCTCCAGGCTTCCCTTCCCCCATCAGCAGGCAAGGGGCTTCGAAAGTTTAAGGATTAGGGTTTAGGGTTTAGGGGCTTCTAGGGTGTTTCTAGAGGTTGTTGTAGGGGTTTCAGAGGGCTTGCAGGGTACTTTAGCACCTCCATCGCCCACTGAGAGGGGACAGCGGCGACAATGAATCGCGACCTGATCAGCAGAAATGGTCCCCTGTCGTCCCTTTTCCATCTGAGTTGCACCAAATTCAAGCAAAGAAGCGAACCCTTGTAACAGGACTCGCTCACGAATGAGATTCACAGATCAGGGCCTATAGAATGATTTAAAAACATACTGTCGTAATCATAGCCAACGCCCCTCAGGTAGGGCGGTCCGGTTTGGGGCTTTCATGGCTTACGGCCTCTTACGACCCCAAACCCTAAACCCTAAACCCTAAACCCTAAAACCTAAAACCCTAAACCCTAAACCCTAAACCCACTCTTCTGTTCGGGCCTGGGAATCGAAGTGCAAGAGCAAATGAGGGGTTTGGGGCCTGAGGCGTCGCCAAACCTATGGGGGGGGGGGGGGTGCCCTAAACCCTAAACCCTAAACCCTAAACCCTAAAACCCTAAACCCTAAACCCTAAACCCACTCGTCTGGGAATCGAAGTGCGAGGGGGGGGGGGGGGGGTGCCCTAAACCCTAAACCCTAAACCCTAAAGCCTAAAGCCTAAACCCTAAAGCCTAAACCCTACTTTATCTCCCTCACTCCAAGATCGCATTCTCGGCAATCGTCCCTTGTCACTTCAACCCTATCGGCCCTATAAGCCCGATAAGCCCTATAAAACCCGATAATACTCTCAAATACCCTACAATACCCTCTAATACCTTACAACCCTATAATACCCTATGAGAGACTATAAGTATAAGACCCTATTAAACCCTATAAACCCCTACAAACCCTCCTGAACCCTAGAGAGCCTCAAAAAACCCAAATCAACCCCTGTCAATGAATCAAACTGAAGAGCTGCCATATCCCAAACCGCCACGTCGGTCAACTATGCAGGGCTGCGGGGTTTAGGGTGTATGCATGGCGTTGGGGGTTTAGGGTATAGGGCTAAGGGTTTAGGGTTGAGGGTGTGTAGGAACGTCTCAAGGACTGTGCCAGATGCTCATGCACTGCTAGCATGAGCCAAACGCCGAAGAAAGCTCCCGCGGAAGCCTTCAGGTTCGGTCATTGAACGATTAAAACCCTATCTGTGGGTGAGGTTCTCATAAACCCAATGAGAGAAAACCCTGAAACGACCCAAGGGGCCCCCGCCAAATCGTGCCATAATGGGATACAAGCCTACACTTGTCACATATACACAAACCATATAACCCGAAAACCTAAACCTACTTACCCCTAAACCCCCAAATCCATATGCAATTGAGTCCCGAAACAGTTACTGGGATGGCCCTTAAAACCAACACATTACTAAATATGATGCTCTAAAACCCAATAAGGTAAACTATGAAATGTACCATAGGCCGACCTAGCGCACATGCTAGACACGGAGTCTTTGCCCCTCTGTAAAGGGAGTAGGCCCACAGAACTTTGAAATTCCAAGGCAGTGCTAGTACGAGCCCCTCATAGCTACCCACCCCTACTTCTGAGTTCCAAAGCAACATAAATGAGCTGATAAGCTCTAGGGTTTAGAGTCTTCAATACTTATCGCAAGACATCTGCGCGGGGGAGGGGGAGGAGGGTGGGGCTGGCGCCAGGCACCGCTGCTTCGCACAGTCGGTGGTTGGTCAAAAAAACCTGTTCCCAAAGTAAGCCTCGGTGCCCCTTATACATCCAGAGGAATGCAAAATTGCCTTCTAGACCCTACATACCCTATAAACCCTACAATATATATATATATATATGTATATATGTATATATGTATATATATATATATATGCATCCCCTATAACACGGACGACCTTGGAATTCAACCCTGCATATTTGTCGGGTTTGGGCTTTCTTCATGAGTTCGACGTGTCCGAGCCTGATCGCTCCTTTAAATGGGGCGAGCCCATGCTTCGTCGCAGCATGGGCACGAAGCAGGGCCTTCTGTAAAACCTTGTGCAGACATGCTACAGGATCCTGGAAAGTTCTTGGGGCCCCTAAACCCTAACCCTAAACCCTCAACCCTCAACCACCGGGGCATCCCAAGAAAGGCTGCCCTTTGGATCCTGAAAAAGTTGGTCCTCCTTAAAGGGTTTAAAAAAAAGGAATGCCCAGCCTCTCCCCCTGTCCCCCTTGAGGGTGTAGGGGCTTCACTGGGAGCGGCGGCTCTCCTCCCTGCCAGTAGCCATCAGGAGATATTCACTCAAACTGACACGAGACCTAGGGTTTAGGGTTTAGGGTTTAGGGTTTAGGGTTTAGGGTTTAGGGGAGTAACCCAAACAACAAGAAGGGTGCGTATAGGATGCGTAGGTGAACCTACAACACTGTAGGTTTTGGAGCTCTTCCGGTCGACCCTTTTGCCACTGGGCCTGGGGACTAGCCAATGCAAGACAGAGTAAACAAACCCTAAACCCTAAACCCTAAACCCTAAACCCTCAACCCTCAACCCTCAACCCTCAACCCTAAACCCTAAACCCTAAACCAAGCTACTTCGCCCGCCTCGATAACACCCATGTGAGCCAAGCCAGGCCTGAAAAGCCCCCTGTACTCGTTAGGGTTTAGGGTTTAGGGTTTAGGGTTTAGGGTTGAGGGTTGAGGGTTGAGGCTTGAGGGTCATGATGGACCCTGAACCCTGAACCCTAGGGGGGGCAGTCCTCAGGGCAGCTTCGCGCTTTTTTTCGGGTGTTTAGGGCTTAGGGTTTAGGGTTTAGGGTTCAGATCCTGACCGTCTGACAGCTATATGAATCTCCAAATCAACTCCTGCGCACAGCGGAGGAGCCCACAAGGCTGTAGGGTTTAGGGTTTAGGGTTCAGGGTTTCGGGTGTAGGGTTTAGTCAGAAGTCCGACCACCATGTGCACCAGCATCGGGTTATCAGGAAAGATCGCTCTTTATCCGTCGGGCGAGGCATCCACAAACCCCCCAAACACCTCAACAGGGTTTAGGGTTTAGGGTTTAGGGGTTGGGGGGTTTAGGGTTTATGTGACATGCGGAAAGATGGGGGGTCAGGGTGCTTAGGAGCGAGGGTCTGTGATCTCGGGTTCGGGTTTGGGAAGAGGGTTCAGATTTTAGGGCGGGGTTGCAGCCGAACTCTGATCTAAGGTGTACTGTTAGACTGAAGGTTCACGGGTACCTATAAGTAGGGTTACAAGTACGCTCAATAGGGTGAAAACTTATAACCATAGTTACGCTGCTTCTAACCCTACTGATAATACGCACATGAACCTCCAAGTAGCCCTAAACCCTAAACCCTAAGCCCTAAACCTCCAAGTAGAGCCTCGAAAAGCCCTAAACACTTCCAAGTAGGGGGCTTGGTGTTCAGAGCTTAGGGTCTGTTCTTCCTTGTTGACGCCTATGCCCGAAAAAATGTCGCGGAACCATGTCGCGGAAGCATGTACAAACAACTCCTTTCGGAGGAGTGAAGCCAGCCGTGCCATCTTGCCGCTGAATCCTGCGCAATGGGCGCGAGCGAGGTGAACTCTAGACACGATTCAACCCCAGCTACAATGAAGGCCTTGCACCCTGACCCCTAAACCCTAAACCCTAAACCCTAGCAAGCAGCATAAGCCACAGCGCATCCCAGAAGGGCAACCGAAGCTTCTGTCTCTGGTCTATGTGGGGTTTGCTTCGTGGAAGGATTTGGATCAAGCTTGAGGGCCGAAACCTTGCACCCTAAACCCTAAACAAACCTAAACTCTGAGCTTAAAACGATAAGAGCGCACCCTAAACCCTAAACAAACCTAAACTCTGAGCTTAAAACGATAAGAGCTTATGCTCTTGAGGGTTCCATGAGTGATGGAAGTGGGTCAACACGAATCCGGGTTTTCCAACCACTTGCAAATGACAAGGGGTCCTGTTGTCACAAAAAACCCCCTAAACCCAAGACCCGAAACCCAGTGGAGCTTCTAAAGGAACCTGATCCCACCACTAGGGAAGAAGCATCCTGTGTTTTGAGTGTTTGGGGTGGGGGGGGGGGGGGGGTTGAGGTTTAGGATTTAGGGCCCTTAAAGTATCCAAGCATTTAAGGTTTGGGGGACATCGCCACTTGCGAAAGGGTGGGCGTAGTCCTTTCGGACAAAAGCACCGGCGATCGAAATGCACGCCTCGCTCATGAGCTCATTTCCTGGGCGTGACTTCGTGAATGTCTGGCTTTATAGAAGTTGCTTTGCATGTTGTTTGCTTATAGACCCCTGGTAGTAGCTCTACTTTGGAAGTACCAAACCCCCAACAAAGGAACTACAATTCAGGGTCCAAAGGTTTGCGGGTTGAGGACTTTAAGGGGCGAAGCTTTTTGGAGTTTTCAGCATTTCGGGCCGGAATGCTCAAATTTACTGCTGCCCTTCTTCCCTGTTGTGGGCGACACACCTGCACAGCACACAGCGGGCTTGTGTAATGTTATTCTTATTAGTGGTGATCCTTTTGCTATTGACATTGTTATTCCCGTGTGTTGTCGTCCTTGTTGTTGCTGCGCTTGCCGGTTGACATTACTGTTGTTGCTTTTGCGTTGCTGCCTGCTCCTGCCGCTGCTGCTGCTGCTGTTCCTCCTCCACCTCCTGCTGCTGCTGGGCCTTGTTGTTGGTGTTGGTGTTATTGGTGTTGTTGCGGCTGCTGCTTGCTGCTGCTGCTTGCTACTGCTGCTCAAGGGAAGCTAACCAGAATTAAGGGGAACGAGGGCTCATGCTGATCCTGAGGTCCTGGGAAAAAGCGAACCCCAGCATGGTCTTTCCCTGGGCTCCCTATGAACTCTAACCCTGAGGCTTTGGTCATACGTAGAGGCCGAATACCCTAGCCCAAACAAGGTTAACCTATTTTATATATAGTAGGATTCTAAAAACCAAAAAGGTTAAAGGTTACCTAGCTAGTCCCTAAGCGTAAAGCCTTCGGGGCTTTTGGAGCCTCTACAAGTTTGAGCCTGAGGCTTTTAAGGTGCAGTTTGGAGACCTATAAACCCTAAACGCTTAGAGTTTAGGATTTAGGGTTTAGGGTTTCAGAACCCTAAGCCCTCAACAACGCCGAGCGTCCGAGTGGGAGTTGCTCTTGGACACAGAGCTCATGACGCTGGGTAATCGCGAGCCACCGGCAGTCCTGAAAGATCATCGCGGTTTAGGGTTTAGGGTTTAGGGCTTAAGGTTTAGTTTCGGGTTTAGGGTTTAGGGTTACAGGTCAACCTTAGCCTTCCAGACACCGAATGATTCAGCTACTCTAGAGCGCCTAAGGTCCCCGGAAAGTTAGGGTCTACCGGGCTTCGATTCCCAACAACTGCTAAACCCTAAACCCTAAACCCTGAAACGTGAACCCTGAACCAAAAAAAAACCTAAGCCCGAACCACCTGCCAGACTTGAGATGGCGTTTCATGCGGTCCAAAGACAAATGGTTACACACACACACACATATATCTCTCTATATCGATTATATATATACATATATACATATATACACATATATACATATATACATATAAACATATAAACATATATACATATATACACATGTATACTATATATATATACACATATACACATGCACAATACGCATCGTGGGGATTTATCAGGCCGTAATCCGAGACTATTGGAGTATGTGGGCCTAAGCTTAACAGCATTCCAAAACTTAAACTTAACAGCTCTTGAAACCCGTCTAAACATGATCCAGAGAAGTGAACGTCGATTCAGCAGCCAGGTTTTGTTTGTTTTCCTGTTGTTTCACCTTATGTCTTCGGCGTCTTCCTGGTTAGGGATTAGGTGTAGGTTGAGGGTTGGGGGGTGTAGGATCTATAGGAGTTAGGGTTTAGGTTGAGACTGTAGGGTTCAGGGTTAATGTATATGATCTAGGGCGTTAGGGTTCAGGGCCCAGGGCTTTCGAAAGCTTCGTTGCTGAGTCCATAAGACCCAAGTACGTGTACACTTTCAGTGTTATAAGGGATGCTAGTAGCCCCAAAAAGTGAAAAGTGTACTCACTCCGCTACTAAGAAAGTAGCACACCCCCCCCCCCCCCCCCCCAAACCCCCCAAACTCCCCAAACCCCCCAAACCCCCCAAGCCCCAAACCCCAAACCCGAAACCCTAAACCCTAAACCCTAAAACCCTAAAACCCTAAAACCCTAAAACCCAAAAACCCTAAAACCCTCAAACCCTTCGCGGCCATGCTTCTTGACATGGACGCCTTTGCTGTTTGCCATGTTTGCCATCTTGATCAGTAGCTTCTCCATGCTCGCTAGCCTGGTGCTTAAGGTTTGGGATTTACAGAAAATTATTTTACTTGGTACAGGGTTTAGGGTTTAGGGTTTAGGGTGATTACAACCCTCTCTTGGTAGAGATTGGTACTGTAGAGATACTCTGGGGTTGGGCACTCCAGGGACACTCTGGGCTGGGCTCTGGGTTGGGCAGGACTCTGGGGTTGGGCACTCTAGGGAGCGAAACCTAAACCCGTTGAACCTAGAAGTTCAACCTAAACCCTAAACCCTAAACCCTAAACCCTAAACCCTAAACCCTAAACCCTAAACCCTAAACCCTAAACCAGACCCTGAACCCAGAGGCAAAGGAGTCCTGGGAGTGGCAGACCGGGAGAGGCAGGGTTTAGGGTTTAGGGTTTATAGGGTTTCGGGTTTAGGCGTTTCTGCTCAATCGACAGTGTTTTGTGGTTCGTGCCCTCGAGCCACATCTTGCTGTTCTTAGCAAAACCCCAGCGTCCATTTGTTGACGCGCTGCAATCGGCCTTGACGGCCCTTGTGCGCCACCTTCTGTGGCTTGGTTGGCTTCCTGGGGGAAGTTGGCCTGCTCCCCATCGTGGTGAGGGAGCTTGCATGCAGCTTGGAGTAGGCTGCTTCCACATCTGGTTGGGCTGTGCCTTGGGCATCCTCCTAGCTGGTGTGCGCACTGCGCTTTGGGCAGCCAGTCCCAACGGCGCGCCGGTGCCGATCTCCTGGGTGGCACAGGAGACTCCGGCTTCAACGAGCCCGTGCAAGGGCCAACCTCCGCAGGGGTATCTCTCGCCCTGGGGATCGTCTACGACTTCTAGCGCACCACGGCAGCATGCCGCCGAAAGCAAAAGAAGAGAAGACGAAGGGTGGAGGCTCGAAGGGTTCAAAAACTACGACCCCGACTACCAGTACAATCAAGTTTGTGCCCCCAGCTTCAGTCATCTCTGCGCTGCAATCACGCGCCGGCAGACTGCATTCTGCTGTGCTGGCAACGGAAGAGGCCACGGTGACGCGCACCATGGCTCAGGAGGCCAACTTCGTCGCAACGCAGATTGCGCGCGCCTCCAAACGTCTCGAGTCCAACGTGAAGGGCCAAACAGGACCTGGTTGGATCTGCTTTTGCGTGGTTTGCGCGGCTAGCAGACCATCTCCTCTACCACCTTGCGGATGTCGAGCGGCAGGGGAAGGAATTGGATGTGGACACTATGGAGGCCTTACAGCTCTTGTCGACCCACATGAACCCTCCCGCCTCTGCTGCTACGCAAGACCTGGTGGGGAAGGCTCAGGACAGCCTGGGAGTCATATGGGGGCCCCATATGCCGAACGCGGTGCAGCAAACCAGGGATGTCCTCAAGAATCTGGAGCAACTGGGATCCTTGCCGGGAGACCACCTACGCCCGGCAGTTTCGGGGTTGAGCGCGGCACAATTACAGACGTCTGCAGCCCCTACTCTGGCAGGTGTACATCACGGTCTCTCTGGCTCGGGAATTGCCTCTCTGCCTGCACCGGTTCGGCCACTACGCACTCCGGCATTGCAACAGAATCGTTGGTCCAAGCGCACGACTGCGTGCCCCGCTGCGGAAGAACGTCCCAGCAAGAGCCCGAGGACAACATCCACGGACATCGCCAGGACACTGGATGGGGCGCCCTTGCCTTCCTCGGCGGTGTTTGGGCCGATTCTGCAAGGCCTCCACGCGGAAGAAGCAGCGATGGATGCTCCGTGGGCCAAGCTGGCCACGGGCTTGACGCCACCGCGAGAGATCAAGCCGACAATCTCAACGCTTGGAGGTGCCGATGCCGCGAACCTTGCGGAACCGTCCGAGGCGGCCCTCTCAGACACCATATCGTTCCAGGCGGTGGAGCCCACAGAGATGACGGAGACAGAGGCAGACTGGGCCGCGTGGCAAGAGAATTGGATTGGGGCTTGGACGTCGACTCTCAAAAGCCTCGTCGACACCCACGGGCTGGAGACGGTGACAAGCTCCTCCAACCCCAAGCTTGCAACTGTGCTTCAGGATCCACCCTTGGCCGATCTGGGCGAAACCAAGCATCTCCTAACCTCTGCTATGGAGACGCTTATCACTGGAGACATGACAAGAGGGCCTTCGATTGCTTCGGCTGTGGAGGATCTCCTCCGGGCCTACGAGTGTCTGCGCACTTGCCCGGGGGCTCTCGGGGGCTCTGGCAAGCTGCCCCAAGGCCTTGTTACTCATGGGGCTCAGGATGTCCTTGCTCTGGACCCCAGCTTAGCTGTTCGGCTAGGAGGTTCCACCTTGCCCGCACAAGCCCAGTCCATCCTGCAATCATGCTCCTGCCCCTTTTCTATGTCTTGAGGCGCGGATCATGGCCAGATCCAACGGGACACAGCTTACGGTGGGGTTTATTCTGGGTCGGCCTTCTATCTGCTGTCGGAATGTGTACACCTTTAAACCCCCTGCATTCTGTTGGGGTCTGGTGTTGCAGCCTTGTCATTCTTCATGGAGGAGCCCATCTCCTTAGCTCATGCTATTCCAGCCCTGCACATTCCCCCGACCTCGTGCACCCTACAGGAGACAATCACATCGCCAGTGCTCAAGCTGGTTGGGTCCGAGATGCCACTTGGTACGCCACTGCCGCTAGCCTTATCAGTGGGGCATGCTGCCTTGGTGCTTGGCTTTCGGGCGATGTCTGGATTTGTGCTACACTTTACGGGGCCCTCGCAACTGCGGCATGGGGGTTTTTCGATGCACCTGTTGCACCCATCAGGACCAGTCATGCTCGCCAGCCTTGGCATAAGCTGAGGGCTGATCGCAGATACCATGCACTGCGATGTAGAGGTTTAATTCTCTGCCTCATCCTCTGTTCTCCGGTTGGTGGAGCGGCACAGGGAGTTGAGCAAAATCGACCCAAATGGATGGATCAGTCCGAGTACTGGAGTGAAGGGGCCGGTCCGGGCAGCCCGACCACTCCCGTCAGCCTTGCTCAGGTGCATCATGACGAGCTCACTAGTCTCATGCAAGCCAGTGCCACCGCACATGATGTTGTACGGCACGCCGTCATCTTTCCCAAAGTTCCTCAAATGCGATCAGCGCAGGGACTTCAGCCCATTGAGGAATGTGGCGCGCGGCCCCTGCTGCTCCAAGAAGTCTGCCAACCGGCATATTGCCGCTGCGTCGCCGTTTTCCATGGTGAGCTGGTTGAAGGGACTGAGCCTTTAATTTTTCAGGTTGATAGCCGAGTCTTCAGGCCTTTCCTTGACACCCAAATTAAACAGGCTGTGGGTCTGGACGCGATCTCCGCTGATCTTCTGGCCCTTGTCTCCGCGTTCCCGGACTTGCCTCCAGAGCAGTATGTCTTGAGGCCTACTAGGATGCCTTGGTTCCTGCAGCAAGTGCCGATCCGGACTGTTGATCCAGGTGTGTCCTTCCACGTCCTGCAACTCGCACGGGATGACTTTTGCCACGACATTATTGCAGCCGTTGCTCGTAGGTTGCATTTACCAGTCATCCCTGAGGCTGAGATGTGTACTTGCCTGCCCGGCAGCTTTGTTGCGGACTCCCAACCCTTGCTGCACCCCCAATGTGACACCATCACTTGGCAGACAGGAGCGCCTCCTAGGGAGCGGGCCTCGGATCCGGCCACCCCCTCGGCTGTGCATCATATGGAGCTCGAGGTTGATACACCTAGGAGGGGCAGCCCACGAGCCCATGCGGTTGTGATATCACACAACGGCCTACTCCACGCTGAGCTGCCTGCATTCCGTCCGGATTCTGACTGCACTCGTACCCTCCAGGCTCAGTTTCCAGAGCTTTTAGCACTTCATGTACGGCGCTTGCGCTTTCCCCTGACAGGCTTACCAGTCACCCAATTTCTGGCCTATGATCAATCTGATGTCGGGATGCACACGCTAGTTGCAGACCTGCGGGACAGTGATCTGGGTCTGCTCGCCGTATCTGTGCCCAGATTTACCACATGCAGGACGCTGGTCGAAGCGGTGGCACGGTTGCACGTCCGCATTCTGGATGGTGAAACGCTTTTGAGGGAAGTTGATGCGGGACGGCAGGTATGTTTTCTCCACGACCATGCCGCACGCCCACATGTTCTGCTCGACCTTGCGCCCTTTGACGTTTTCCGGTTGCGCACTGTGGATCAGAGCCAAGAATCCCCTGATGCACACGGGACGGCCCTTCGACGATCCACGACCAGCCTGCCCTTGCTCCTTGGTGCGTTACTATGCCCGGCGCACTTTCGCCGTTGGTGTCTTGTGGTTTCGACTGGGGTCGGCCCTCTTCTAGGGCAGGCGGCGCGGGCCTCTAGCGCACCCCCACATAGAGCTGACCGGAGAGTTCGAGCTCCTGCACCTATGATGCCCTTTCCTTCGCAGGCGTCTCAGGCGACTCATGCCGCCATACAGTCCGAGCTCCTATCTGCTGGCCGCCTCCTCACCCCTAACCTCAGCCCCAGTCTGCTAGGATCTGAAGACCCTAGGATTGTCTCCTTTAAGGTCTGGTTTCCTGAGGGGTTCTTCGTCCGGCAATACCTAGTAGGGCTCAGCTGGGATGATATCAGATCCGGCCTCCTCGGCGTGTCCCTGGTGCGTGACCGGGCTTGCTTGCTCCCTGTTATGGCCCCTCCTGACCACGCGGCGGTCCACCTGGTTGCGACCTCCCGCAACATCCTCCACAGTACCATCCTCGTCCGATATCGGGAAGTATGGACCTGTCTTGATGTTGATTGGCGTAGTCCTGCGAGCGCCATCTTCGATTGGGGTGTCGCCCAGGATGGGCACCAGTGTGTTCGGATTGATTGTGCACACCGAGGCAAGCCCAGACATGGCGACGTATGTGTCTTGGTTCCACACTATGCTGCGCTGGACCCCCCCCTTCTTGACGTGAGCACGCATTCCCTTGTCATGCCGCGAGGATGCTCTTGGCAGCAAGGGGCCCGTCAGCAAGTGTTCCCCCTAATCCAACCGGCTCAACCTCATCTATGGCTCCCCCGCATGTATGGTGTTAGCGCGCGGGAAACAGCTGTCAATAT